TTATGGTGAAGCATATTGCAATGTTGTCTTAAAACTATAAGAAATTAAAACATGACCTTTTTTTCGTGCCTATGGTGTCACTGCTTAACAGATGCACCAAAAAACTCTTTGGAGCAGAGAACCTTGTTTTGCTTGGTCAGCATGACACAGTCTCCCAACAGGCTCCTAGACATTAGGAAATGGTAAATAATAAAAAAGCTGTATTAGACCATTGCACCAAGTGGCAGCTTGGTCCTTAAGCTGTGAACAAAAAAAAAAAACCACCAACCAAAAGCATCAGGGTTGCATAATAACGGGCCTGGTGCAGTGTACAGACAGAACAGGACTGGCTCGGTATTAGTAAAAGTCAATTTGTTAGATATTCACTGCTGTAAGCACAGTGTTGCTCAACATGTGCAATAAATTATTGTGTGCGTGCATGGTCATATTCTGCTTGCAGAATAAGCACCGGTGTTCCCTATTGCACGTTCTCAAGCATAAATCATCAGGTTTCCAAAACCTCTTTGAGGGATTTTTTTTTTCCTCGTGATTGGTTTGATGTTGAATCAAGTTCAGTCACCTCAGACACTGACAGCTAAGCCTGAAGGTAAAACGCACGAGGTATGAGTCCCATCTTGTTTGCGAGTGTTTGCACAGCCGACATTTGAAGCCATGCCCTGAGTTTTGCTTCGAATTTCAAACTCGTGCTGCTGCAGCACCTGGAGGGGTGCGCTGAGGGCCTGAGCGATGTTTACCCCAGCTCCCCTCAGCCTCCGCCCGCCCCGGGCCCGATCCCCGGGCCCGGCCAGAGCACCCAGGGCCACCTGGGCAGGGGCGGCCACAGCCCTGGGGGGCCACTCGGCCAGGGAGTGGCTGTGAGGGACGGGCCGGTTTGCCCGGGGCGGGGGAGGGACCCCCGAACGTTCAGAAATTACCTGTATGAGGAATAGTGTGGCAGCAGGACCAGGGCAGGGGTTGTACCCCTGTGAGGGGGACACATTCGTGAGGCCACACCTCGAGTGCTGCGTCCAGTTCTGGGCCCCTCAGTTCAGGAAGGCCATTGAGGTGCTGGAGAGGATCCAGAGAAGGGCAGTGGATGTGGGGCAGGGTGTGGAGCACAGGTGTGATGAGGAGCAGCTGAGGGAGCTGGGGCTGTTTGCCCTGGAGGAGGCTCAGGGGGGCCCTCGTCGCTCTCTACAATTACCTGAAAGGAGGCTGTAGCCAGGTGGAGGTCGGGCTCTGCTCCCAGGGAACTCGTGACAGCATGAGAGGACACAGGCTCAAGCTGCGCCTGGACATTAGGAAGAATTTCTTCACAGAATGGGTGATCAGACATTGGAATGGGCTGCCCGGGGTGGTGGTGAAGTCACCGTCCCTGGAGGTGTTTAAGGGACGACTGGCCGTGGCACTCAGTGCCCTGGTCTGGTTGACATGGTGGTGTTGGGTCACACGTTGGGCTTTTTTGACCCAGTTTTGACTCTGCCGTTCCGCTACGGGCTCGATACACACGACGCCCTCAGCTCCGCTCTGAGGGGCGCGAGTGCCCGGATGTGGGGCCCCGCCCCCTCGCCCGCCCCCCGCCTCCCACACGCGCGCGCCCCCGCGCGCGGCCCCCGCGAGAGGGGCGGTTCCGGCGCAGCGCTCGCGAGAGGAACATGGACACGGACATGGCCGCGGCCGCGCCGGGCCGGGGTGAGCCGGGGCGGGCGGGGGGCACCGCCGGGGCGGCACCGCGCGGGGACCGCGCCTCACGGGCGGCAGCGGGGCCGCGGGCCGGACCGGGCCAGGCTGGCGGGGCCACCGGGCGGGAGCTGCTCCGCCGCCCGGCCCCGGGGTGGGCTGCGCCTCTGAGGGAGCGCCGGGGGCGGGCAGGGGCCCTGGAGGGGCGCGGGGGTGGTGGTGGTGGTGGTGGTGGTGGTGGTGGTGGGGCGGCCCCGCAGCTCCGCCGGCCGCTCCGGGCCCCGCGCAGGTGGAGCTGCCGGTGCCCGCAGCGCCCGCACCGCGCCCTGGGACGCGGCTGCCGCGGCCCGGCCGCGGGTGGATGTGCCCCGTTGTTTTATCGGTATTTGCTGGAGAGGAGCACACGCTCCCGGGGGACGCGCGGGGCCCTGGGCAGCAGGGCGGCAGTGCGGGCACGGCCCGAGCCCGGCGATGGGAGCCGCGAGGGGAAACCTCTGCACGCCGTGACCCAGCGCGGGGTCACCGAGCTGTGGGAAGAGCAGCGGCTGTTAACGAGCTCGGTTTGTTGTCTGTGACACACGGGGTTTAGGTGGCACTTGGTTAATCCGTTTTAGAGTGGTCAGGCACGGGAACAGGTTGCCCAGGAGGCGGTGGAGTCACCATCGCTGGAGGTGGTTCAGTGGTTTAGGGGTTACAGTGGCAGCGCTGCGTTGGTGGTTGGACTGGATGATTTTAAAGGTCTCTTCCAGCCTTGACGATTCTGTGATTATATCATCAGCTCTGTTCACACGTGTATCCACAGCCCCTGTTCGCACAGATCTGCATCCCAGGGCCACAGCACTCGGGTGGCACTCGTGGCACTGGCATTCTTCGGGATGTAGGGAGCGAGGGTGCTGCAGTGCCGTCCTTTCTGCCTTTGCCTTTATTCCATTTATCTGGGGTTTGCATTGGTGTCCAAGTGTGCAGTGCAGAAAACTGCTGTTGGTCTATCTTAGTGCAGTTGAGAGGAATACCATGATTTCCTGGCTGCAGCAGGCAACTTCCAAGATTTAAAGGAAATAATTTATTTAGTCACAAAGTAAACATTAGAAAATTATCTTTTCATGTGTGTTCAGCACAGAGCACCATGAAATCTCATGTTTAAATATGTCTAAAATACTTAAGACTTAAACATCACTCACCTCTTAAGAAAAAACCAAGCTTGCACTGTCCTGTGAGTATGGCATGTTCCAAAGTTCTTGTTTATGGTAGGTGATCACACTTCTTCCTGACACTCCCTCTTTTCCTTTATGATGGAAAAATGCACAGTTTTTCAGTTAATTGAGGTTTTAAAGCTCTCAACAAAGACACAGCTGGCATTTTATAAAATTACTCTCTTAATGTTTGACATTTTATTTTGTTCCTTTCTGAAGTTTTCTTTCCTGTGTAATGAGTTAGGGCAAATTGTGATTTTTGTGGTATAACTTGCATTTAAAACTTGACAGAGTGCTGTCTGGTAATGACACTGGTTACTAAGCAAATAAACACATCTGGAAGCTGAAGATCCCTGGTATGTTACTGGAAGTGCAGAACAGCTTTGAGGATTTGGCAGTATTTAGAGGAGTGCAGAAAACAACTTGATGCAGTCATCCAACAATACGAAAACCACCTTAATATTTACCTTTTTGATTTGTGGGATTCTGTTGAATGAGTTAGTATAAAAAAGCTTCAAAAGTGGAGGTTAATACATGGATATTCAGACAAATTTAGTATTTATATGCATAAAATGCTTAGTAAATTGGAGCCTTGGCTTGTTAGTCAAGCAATCAAATTAGATAATTGGTGAAATGATGGATTAATATGATATCGGGTAGGGAATGTGCTTGGTTGTGGTTTACGGTTATTTAAACAATGTTAGGATTACTGGTGAAATAAATATTGGAAGGAAGAGGGAATATATTTTTTCATTGGCCATGTCTTTTTTTTTAGGCCTTTTTGCCATTTCCCTCTTATAACCTCTTCCTTGTGAGTGGTTTGGTTTGGTTTTTTATATGTTTAGTTTTTAACCTCTGTCACTGATACGTAAGGAAACCACAACATCAGCTTCAGCCTTTGGGCATGGAATCCATTAAAAGAAGAAAAACCCAATCTGTAGGATTCATCCCTGGGAACAAACAGAACATTGTGTGGCTGGGCAATGCATGGGATGTTTTAAGGCTGATACCTTTGGCTTCAAACCCAAAACAGGAAAACCTCATTAATGTTATATGAAACAGCATGTGATAAATTCCAGCCTTAAAAATAACTGGTTTCTTGAACTTTTCTAAATTTAATATGCATTAGGTTTCTGTTGACATCATCATATGTGTCTGTATATGTATATTTGTACACACATACTCTAAAATGTACTAATAAATTAAATGTAGCTGAAGGAACAAATATGTTTGAGTTGTCACAGCAAAAAGACAAAATGTTGTGTGAGCAGTTTCTTTTTCTTTATAAAGGGTCCATTGCATTGGAATCTGTAGAAAACTAGAATATATTTCTGTTATTAAATGAAGTTATAGTGCTTAGATATAACTGGCACTTAAACTTCCAAGTGTGAAGACATTCCAGCTGTAAGAAATTATGCAAGATGGACTTAAAGGAGCTGGAACTGATCTCATATGTTGTAGTTGAGTTAAAAGAAGAGGGGTTTACCACGGTTATTCTTGCCAGAGGTAACTGGAAGGACAAATAAGGTCTTAGAATTTGAGTAGTAACAGAAAAGGTGCTAAAACATTTGCTTAGAACACATTAGAATCAGTTTACTCTCAGGAGTTTAGCCTAGTAACATACTTTAACATCACAAACCTGCAAAAACTGAGAAAGGTGAATTAATATTCTTAGGGCTTTAATTTCTTAAATGGACTAGAATATGTAACTTTGACAATAATGAATCCTTGTGACATTTTTGTGACTTCTGTTTTTCTTCTTTACTTTCCAACTGACCAGAAATGTGCTGAAACGGACGCTTTAGAGGGGAGCAAGAGATACAAGGTAAGTGCTGTAGCTTAAAATAATTAAAGCTTTCTAAATCCATTTTGTAAATAAAGCTATTTTTTTAGTGAGAAGTGTATCCCTTTAAATTGTGCTGCTTTTATAATCCTGTTAAAATGGCAGGTTTTCCAAGAGATATGTTCCTATACAAAGAGAAATTTGGAGATATGTAGTACCTGTGTTACATGAACTAAGAGCAAGTTTCTGTGATTATCAAATTTCTGTGGCATTTGATACAAGTCATTTTTAATTACCTCTTAGAATTTTGAATTAAATATTTGTATGCTGATTAAACAATATTTTCTCTTTTTAAAGGACTTGCAAGCCTTCAGAGATTATATTAGACTTTTTCCAAATGTGAATAGTTTTGCTATTGGTAGGTAAAACTTTGGCCTATGGAGCATTTTGTTTGTTTTTAACTGTTTTTCTGTAGTGATTCAGGCTCATCCCAGCCCAGCACTTGCAAAGGGCCACCAGACCCAGTGTTTGGTTAAATCAGTCCTGGTAGAGATGAGGAAACTTCTGTTTCAGAGGGAGTAACCAAGGAGTTTAATGGCTGCTGATAGTGCTGTCTCAGGAGGTGTTAGGGAGGGAAATCAAGCAGCTCAGTAAAACAAGGAATTTAGGTTGTTTCAGCTAAAACATTCTCAGTTTTGGAACTGTGTGCCTCTGTGTCCTGCTGGTCCCCAAACAGTGACAATTCTGATCCTGCTCCTCCTCTTGCATGGGGAAAAAGGGCTTTGTTGGGGGGATGAGAGGGGTTGCCTGATTTTCAGAGTAACTGAGACAGAGCACCAAGCTTAAAATCTCCTTGATAATTTCTACTGAGGCCCCCTTAGATGGACCAGAGCATTGGTTCCACCTCTACAGAAGAAGACAGACACTGCACATGACTTTCATGGCTAAGAACTGCTCCAGAGACTGGAAGGACAGCAAGACATACAAACCACCTTCTGTGTATACCCAGTTTTGTATCTGGAGCATGGATGTATTCCAACAAACCCCAAAACTGTGGAGTTAGGCAAGAAAAGAGCAACTGGATACACTTGCAGAGAGGGGAGCTTCCTTTAACCTGAAGGCAAGGTGTGTGGAGGGTTGTGTTCGGGCTGCACGGAGAGCAGAGCAGGTTGGTTAGACTTGGCAAACCAGTTCACTTGGTGTGCTGGGTTAGTAAATCTACAACCCTTGTTTCTGACTGGGAGTGTATCTGCTGCTCTCCTAGCAGAGTGCCCAAAAAGAGAGATCAACAACTGAAATTAGGCCTATTTGCACTTGACAGCCATGAATGTTTCATGTTTGCTTCTTGAAATGAAATTATTCCATGCTGCACTGCAGACAGGGAACCCGTATTCCTGGCCTCGTTTAAGCCTTTTTAGCACCTGAAGTTCAAGAGCCAAAATTGCATTGTATTAGTTATGGCATACAACATTTCCAAACTCTCCTTCTGTGGTGAAGATTGATGGCTTCTGTAGAACTGCTCCTTGTGGTTGTTGAGGCTCTGTCGAAGCCACAGCCACAAAAATCTTCCATATCCTGAAACTCCAAAGCAAATGCACGTTACAGAATTTATTAAAGTATTCACATTCCTGTTATTAAATCCAGATGTTAATGTAACAGTTTTGCACTTGTGCAATAAACTAGGTCTCTGTGATTGTTGACTCAGTAGACAGTATTTTAAGATTTCATATTTGGGTACTTGGCTAAAGCCATTAATTAAATGTTTGAAGACGGGCTTCAAGCTGGGCAGGATGCCAAGAGCAACAAAGTGAGAGAGAAGTCACAGTTAAACTGATTTTTGATCTTCACACCAACTAGTGAAACACCAATTAACAAAACACTAAAAATAAAGACAGAAAGAAAACGCGCTGCTTTTCTACCCTTCTAAGACTGAATTTGTGAGATGATTAGCCCTAGTTTATATACATATATATATATATACACACACACACGTGTTTTTATTCCCACATTTTGTTTCTAATTCTAGAAACCTCCTGGAAGGCTGGGGAACAGTTGCTAAAAATGTGAATAAAAATTCTAGAGACATTAAAATTAGTGTGCCAGTCATTCTTTACTCTAAATGTAAAAGAGGTAGCTCATAGAAATTCAGCAGAGAAACTCATTAAAATGAGTTCAAGTTGTTAGTGTATTCCAGTAAAGTCCAGTTAATACCCATAAATGTTTCTTATATCTCATGAGTGGCAACTTTTTCAGTATTTCCTATAGAAAAAATAAATAGAAGAGATGTAGAATTCCAACTACTGGCATTCTGACTGATTTTAAAAATGAACGTGTATTGCTTGGTAAAGTTGCAATCCAGCAAAGCTTTAAGCATGTGTTTCTGAGACTAAATGGGGTGCACAAAGTTGAACACGTGCTTAAAGCTCTTCAGGATTTAGAGCCACATGTCAGCAAAGCTTTAGGAAAGGAATAGTTGGGATGTAACATAAGCAGGGAAATGGGTGTGTGACTGTGTCTGTGGTGGGGTCTCCTCACCCCACAGTGCTACAGATGCACTTCTGTGTGTGAGTAGTCCCTTACACAGAGGTGTTCAGAGGGAATGATGGTATCACTGTCTTTATGTTCATTATGGTTGGTCTGAACTGCACCATTTCTGCATTATTTTAGTTTTTGAGTGGAGTAATAAATCTCTGAACTATTTTTGAGTGTGGTTTTTCATTATGATATGTCACTTGGGATGTTATTTTTTAGGATATTCTCTTTAAAAAATATCATTTTAAACGTATTTTTCTATGGAAAGTACAGCTCAAGACAGGTACCCAAGAAGAAATGCCTCTGTTTTGCTAATGATTTCCAGTATGTAAGTTGTACTCTTTGTACAGCCATACTCTATAAATATCCTTAGTGTGTTTATAAGGTTTTTGTTAAAGCCTTGTAACCTGTGTGAATTAGGAAATAGTTTAAAAAATCTTTTTTTTAATCAGCTCTTGACACCATTTAGTACTGATGTGTCAGATCTGCTGTTATTCAGATCAATAATATTTTTGGGTGGCCGTATGCTTGTTCACACATTTTCCTCTCATAGTTATACTTGTGCTCACTTCACATCCAAAAGAGAGCAATACATTTTTGCACACTCCTAGTAAGAAAATTCTGAAAATAGATAAATTCAGACGGTCTTTGATTTAGTGTGACTGTGCAGCAGCCTTTGCTGTGCAGCTGGAGGCCAAATGGACAGTGAAGGCTGTGTGTTTGCAGGTCAGCTCTGCTTTTAAGTTATTCACTTTTACAGAGTGGGGTGTTTTTAGAAAAAATTGCAGAATTTAATGCTTGTCCTCCAGAGGAGCACATGAGCTTGTACTGATGTAGGTGTTTTTGCAAACCTAGTTTCAGGTAAGAAATCCAAATCTTAGATACAGTTTGGAGGTAGTGAAAGTGCTGATAATACTTTATCTCACCAATAGCAAGGAATTGCTCCAAAGGCAAAGGTGATCAGTTAACAGGTCATTCCTTTGGGGCTTGCTGTTATTTCTTTACAAATTTCCAGTGTTTCTGTAGTTTGGCTCATGTGTTTTAGGTAAGTACTGAGAGCTGTTACAACACAACTTCACAACTGTGTGTGAAGCTCCAGAAAAGACAAAACCTCACCATTTTCTCCTTAATGTGTTCAACACTAATTTCATTTGCAGTGTCTGATTTCAGTTCACAGTTTATGAGGGTAGAGCTCACTGACTGTATTTCTAGTAAATACTTAATTCAAGAGAAGTTACTGCTTTATGTTGCAGTCTTTATTATTTCTGAATTTGTATGGGTTATTTACAGTAATGTTTCTTTATGTTAATGTCAAATAATACAGCAGCACTTGCATACGAAGTACTGAGCAAACACTGTCAGTGTTTGCAAAATATAAACCATCTTTATGGGGATTATAAATCTTCCAATGTGAATCAAGCCTTAAATAATTCACTCTACAGCTGTAGATGGTTTCAACCAACTTTCTTTGCTTCTGTGAATAACAGTGTAATTTGTGATTTTTGGAATGAGATCCTCCCTCCTCTGCCAGATGTTCCACCCTTCCTCTGTTCTGCCAGTTGAACCATTTGATGGCTCTTTCACCAGGTCCTGTACAATGTGCCTGATTTTAAAAGCTGGGAATTGGGAAAACAGAAAGGTAGAATCTCTGGGAAGGGGTGAAATGCAGATGGTTTCAACCTATTCCAGCCCACAGTTCATCTTTCTCTGCTTTGAGAATGCTCTGAGCAGGAGCAGGGGGGGAACGTGGAGCCCAACCCGCCATCGGACGTGGAGCGTGGATCAACCACGGGAAGGTGCTGCCCTTTCGTGCAGACTAAGCACAGGGAGACTCCTGGACACACACACGGGGCGAAATTCCGCTGTTTCTCAAATATCTGGGGCAGGTGGAGCCAGAAGGTATTCCAAAAGATACAGTTCCATAAGCATCTCTCATCTGCCTGGGGGTTCTTGGCATCTGTAGCAGACTTTGAAAGCCTAATCCAAGCCTTCTCCTGGCTGGCTGAGGAACATGGTCAGGAGAGGAAAAGGTTATCAAGGAAGGATGGCATACAGAGCACGTGTGATGGGGAAAGTGGAAGCTGAGTTGAGAGGTGATTTAGTGATACATGGAGGATAGAAACAAATTGAGAATTCAGGGAGAGGAATCAGGAATGGTACTAAAGTGGTCTGGGGAAGAAAGGAACTATGATCTGATCTAGAAAAGGAATTATGAAAAAAAGGCAAGAGCAAAAGAAACCTGGGCTGTAGGATTTATATCTGACCAGATTATATTTAAGGAATATCTTGTTTTCATGAGAAATCAGTATTTTCCAACAGAGTTTCTAACCAAGCTTTGTAGTATTTTTTTTTTATATATATTTTGAGTGCTGCTCAAAAATGTATCTTTGAGGAAAGAGTGGGATTGCTTAGGTTTTCCAGCCTGTTTTTACTGATTTATTCATGACTAAAAACACTGTGTGTTTTAGTGTTAGTAAATAGATCAAACCAAAGTGTTTTGAAACATACCCTAATAAATGACATTGGATAACTGTTAAATGATGGAAATGCTACAGATCAGAAGACATACTAAAGCAAGATATTTTCTGTTATGCTGCTGAAGACCAGAAATGTCTGCTATACAGATAAAAGTGTTATGTAGGAGAGAAGTTATGGCTGCAGGTGTTTTTAGGCTAATGAGTTCATAAATTGACTGCTACTCTAGTTGTGATGTGTTCAGGAGAAGAAATGGTCAGTAAGAGCTTTTTCATTAGAGAACTGCAGAGGGATAGAAGGAGAATATATTGAAGGTATTTCAACCTATGTTTTAAGGATTTTTTTTGCATTCTGAAGCTCATGAAGTTTACTCCATGACTGAAGAACATTTTCAGCTGAGGGGAGAGAATTATTCAGCCACTTGGTTGTTCTGACAGAACCCTGTATTTAATCTCTGTGCCACTGGACCTAATTTGCCAGTAACTGATTTAGCTTTGGTAAACCCTTGAAGTAGATGCTCTGGTGGTGTTTTGTTATTATTTTAATCATACATTTATGAACATTATTTTCCTAAATTAATATGATATTTGGAAATAATTGGTGGAATGAATGAAGGTGTTGCAGTCAGGTTTTCTCATTTTTAAGTCTACACTTATGACATTTATATCTTTTAATACATGAGGCCTTTTTCTCTGTTTAATAAATTTCTGTTAAGTGGTTCTTGAGATTTTAAGTATTTCTAAGGGCCGTTATGTTTCCTCCTTGATCAGCTTATTCTTGGTTACTGCCATTTCTGCATAAACAGAGGACTTTTCCCTCTCCTTTATAACTGAGGAAAATGAGAATGATGATTGGTTTTTTAAGGGGAAGGTTTACTGGCTTTTTTTTACTTCAATTTGTATTAGAAGAAAGATCCCAAGAAATAGAGAAATTAGATGTGTTACAGCTGCTAAGTGTAGCAATTTGTGCCGAAATCTACTGTAAACAATGTTCTATTTCTTATTTATTTATTTTTAAACAAACAGCTTTGTAAGGAATGAAATATTGGAACACAATAGTTTAACAGATAAGACTTCTTTGAAAGTGGCCTTAGGCAACATAAACTCTCCTGACCCAGAGTTTCTGCCCTGTTAGTCTTTAGCTAATTTCAGTATGGAAAATGGAATTCCAGTTCATTTTAGCTTTGGAGATCGTGAGAAATTGGTTCTTAAAGCAGCAAGGGCATGGACTAGGGATTATAGCATTAAACTGTTTAGAACATCAGAGTTTTCAGGCAGCATACTAATAACATCATTTTTCTGGTTATTTTAGAATATGGGTGTTGATCTGGAGATTAAACTACATCACTTATACTCTTGGATGGATCTGTATTTATAAAAAAATAATAAGTGATATTCCTTCCTGTGCTCTTACCCTGTTCACAGGGAGTATTAATGTCCTTGTTAGAAGAAATGTGCTTGATTTGAGAAGTTAAAGTTTGGCTTTTGTTTAGTAAAGAGTAATTTCATCTTTAACCAATTTATTTATTTTTGTGTTACAGCCATAATACCATGTATGTGGTGTATCCATGCTTAATTTCCAATATTTAGGAATCTTGGGGTTGATATTTTGTGGTTTGCTGAGGAATTTTTCTTCCTGAAAGTCTGTGCTTAAATGCATGGAATTCAGCATTCTTTCAGTATGCAGCTTTGGTGTTTCTATTAAAAAAAACCAACCCAAACCACTTTAATTCTGGGGAAGATCCTGCAAGATGTAAATCTATTACAACTGATGTATTTGCATTCACATTGGGATCTTTTGTCACTGTTGTATCACAAATCAGGTCACAATGCAAAGTGGGCTGTAAGCAGGTGAGCAGTGCAGCGTGACACTGTTCTCCCTCCGGGAAAGTGGGAAAACTTTTCCTTCTCCCTGCTTTACCAGGAGGTGTAACTTGGAGGGAGGGGGTCATCCCCCTGGAGCCACGAATCTGAGGAACAGCTGATACAGAAGTGATGAAACAACTGTGCTCCTTCCGTGCTTTTTAGAGTTTGTAATAGAAAGGAATGCTTTTAAGCCAAGCAATTACACATCTGTGCCCAGTTGCAGAGGCAGCTTTTGCTGGAAGGCTGGACCTCACTCTGACCGTGGAATAATGACACATCAGTGGAGAATGATTTATGTGTGTTACAAGAGCTGGCAAGAGCCCAGAGTGGTATTATGGGATTGCCAAAACGTCGTGTCACTGCCCGTGTTTAGCTAAGGGAGCTGAGCAGTTGTACCACAGCACATGTGAGGAGTGCACTATTTCAGCTGTGAGGTACCTTTGGGAATGCCAGCAGAGCCTTCAGAATCCAGGGTTGTAGCTCACCCAGTGGTTTTGTCTAAGCAGGACAGCAGCACTATAAAAAATCATCTCAGTACTTACCCCACCACCTTTAATTAACCCTTAATTGTGCTTTTGTTGCTATTCAAGATGTCACATCATCCAGTGTCAAGTGAAGTGTTGAAGAGACGGTCCCATGGACTTGTAAACCAGACACTGGTTTTGGGCCAGGCCTCTCTTTTCTTTCTAGTTAAAGGAAATAGAAGGGATGAGAAGATTAAATACTTGTAATAACTTTGAAGTAAAACCAGTTGTTTGAGACAAATACGTGTCATAAAGCTCTGCCATGATTTTACGTGGTGGGTACACGATCAGAAATAGGAAACAAAAGAATATTGTAGGACTCTAAGCACTTATAGTGTAAATCAGGTAAAGACTGCACGGTAAATAGCTGCTGCTCTAGGATGTACAGCAAGTGTTTTGTTTTTTTTTTTTTAAATTAAACATTAATCTGTCACCTTCTAAATTTTTCTTTTGTCCATTAGTGGGTTAAATTTTAAAAGTTTTGCTTTCAGAAGTTAAGAGGAACAAGTTGACTGGTTTCCATGGAGCTAATTCAAGTTATTGTTTGCATTGTTAATATCTGAAAGTAGATGTGTTGGTGCAAGTCAATATGCAGCAAAAGGTCTGTGAAAGAGGGTTTTCTAAATTGTCCTAAGGCTCTGAGTAGGGCCTGCTTAACTGGGAACCACCTGCATGAGTGCACTGAATTTCGGGTCAGATATAATCATTTTGATCTTTTCGAGACCCTCTAAATGGAAGTTGCTAGTAATCTCTAATTCTGCTTACCTTATTTTGAATTCATGTCTAATTAGTATTTAGTTTATTGCTGATGTGAATAGTATGTTGAATTCTGTCCAGTAGAAGTTGGTTGTGTTTTTTAAGAGAACAGCAAATATTATAATAATAAGGCTTTGCTAGTCTCTGTAACAGTGTACAGAAATAAAAAGAAGCAAAGTGTATATTTTTCCAGAAGTTCCAGTTAATAGATGTGATTGTGCCAGGCTCCGTCCCATCTGTGGCAGGAGCAGAGAGCAGCACGGTCAGCGGGAAGCAGTCCTGCACTTCCTTCCTCCTTGACTTCAGTCCTTGTGCTTTCCTTGCTTTGTTCAGCTCAAGGGCTTGGTTTACAGGCAGTAAAATAAACAGAATAGCACCTGCAGCTTAGTCATAAATGGGAACATCTCGCAGTAGCCAACAAATGAAATCATGGAGTCGTCCAGCCTTTCCTGAAATGCCTTCACAGCTTTACCAACATTCGTTTTTAAGACAGGTCAGTATTTTAGTTATCAAAGGACTCTGAACACATACAGGATTTGTGAAAGGCTATGATCCAGTTTATTGATAAAAGTTATTAATTATTGCCTGAACTTGTAAAAAGCTCTGTGTAGGCTCTCTTCCCTTTTTTTCAATAAATGCCCACTTGTAGGACATGACACTAAAATGTGTAGCAATCCTATGATGTGTTCATATAAATATTTGACCCTTACTCCAGACTTGAGCTGTCAAGTGCTTTTATAATACCAAAATGAACACTTGGATTTAGATTTTTTCATATGTTGTCAACTTCAATCCCATAAATAGATTCTGCTGGCTACACTTTATGTTTGCTGGCCACAGAAGATCATGGAGCACATGGGATCTTACTAATTCCTTCCACAAAGTTCTGTCATAGAGCAGAAGAACTGAACTTGCTTTTTGGCAGGTTAATCTGAGTTGATCTTGCAATTATTTGAACACTGCTGCTAAATGCTTCACATTAAAGCTGATATTAAGGACTTAGGAATTTTTGTTAATTGGAATTTGAGTAAGTTGCTTCTGAAATCATATGTCACTAGGTTTTATTTGTTTTATTGTAAAAGAAATTCTAATTTAAATGTGCAGAGACTTAAGTTTCTCACTTAGGGTGAGAAACTGGAAGCATCATTTGTTTGCACCCCAGTAATGCACATGGTTTCTTTTTTGTTTGGTTGGTTTCTTTGTTTCTTTGTCTTGCTAAATTTAGGTATTATAAAACTGACCTTGTGTTGCTTTCTAAGCTGACTCCAAATTAATTTGCTGCCAGTGTTAATATAGGCCTTTTAAAGTAGAATATTAAAGCAAATGTAAAATATTGACAATCAGCATCATCTTCATAGATTGAAAAATAGCAATGTCACATTTAGATTTTTCTGACCATTTGCAAATGACATATTTCCATGCACTGTGTGTGCAACATCTAAACAAGGTACTACTTTGTTTTACCTTTCTAGTTTAAAGTATTTTTTATGAAGCTGTTTATTTCAATAGAACTGTGAGGACGTGTGCTATAGCAGCTTTGTGTTTGTTTGATCCAGTTAATCCAGCTGAATGATTTACACTGCCATAATATGAGCATTGCTGATCAAGAATATCCACAGAAAAGATGAGATGAAATCAAATTGTGCCTGCTCAAAAGGTGATTAAAAGTAAAAAGTTGTTGACTTGCAGAGTTAGTTTCATAACTTTCTTAAAAGAAGATATGTTTGAAAAGTTTTATGTATTCAGTAAACAATTTAAACATTTCTTTCACCTGAAGGTATTGATTTTGTTTTAGTGATGAATACTGTGCATATTGAACCTTGGCTTGATTTACTTAAAATATCTGTAAGAAGTTTAGCATCTTGGATAAATTCTATTATTAATTATCATTTTAAAGCCCTTGAAGTGTGAGCACAGAAGATAATTGTAATATTTACAACTCCTTACAACATTTTCATGGACCTTAAGGTATTTAAACACTACGTTTCCCAGCATTGCTCAGAAGTTGATCCTTTCCAGTGCAGGGTTATGTGAAGCCCAGATTTGCCCCCCTGCTGTTAGCAGGGATTGGTTTGAGAAGGCAGCAGTGTGAGAGAAGGACAGAGAAATCATCTGGCTGGCCCTACAGGCCCAGGGAAGGCTGCAATTTGCCCACGCTCAGGGGAGCTGGGGGAGGCTGCCTTTGTTCACACAGCCCCCCTCTGTGCTGGTAATGAATGTGCTCTCAGCAGGGCCCGGCTCAGCACCAGGGACCGGCCTGTGTTGGGTTTTTTTGCCTGCAGGTAGCACGGGAGAGAATGGATCACCAAGGCTTCTCCTGACTCATCCCCTGCCCCTGTCCACATACAAGTCATTTTCTATGCATCACCTAGTTTATGATGTGCATTTGCAAGTGGAGCTTACTTATTTTTCAGACTTCAGTCAGACTTAAAGATCTCCTTCAAAGAATTAGCAAAGAGAATCTCAGTGTAGCATTGTCATTGTGCAAAAGTGTTAAAATGAGTTTCTGGAGGTCTTCTGGTGTCTGCTCAGTGGTATTAATTTAACTAGAGCACACAGTTACAAAATTTAATCTCAGTGAGTGATTTAGTAAAAGGGGAAATTTTTCTGCACTGCTGACCAGCCCAGTGTGAACTGTGAGTTCCTGGAAGGAGGATGGCATTCCAGGCACTGCTATGATGGGAAGCGTGACAGAACCTCAGCTCTGTCAAATACTTCTGCACATTGTTTTTTAAAGAAATTAATAGTAACAGTGAGTTTTGCATAATGAATAATCCAAGATGATTACTCATGGTTAGTCAGCACTGATATTTCTCATCTTTTTCTGCTTTTGTATAATTACCTCAGTAAAAATAGCTGTATGATTTAAATCCTTGTTGCTTTGTATTTTACCACAGAGATCAACTTAATTAATTAATATCTTGACACTGTGTTTTAACTATAGGATTGTGATTTCTCTTTCAATATAATAATTTAATGTCAGTTTTCGTGTCAGAGTTCCCATGCTGTATCCAAAATACTTCTAATGAGAGAGGCTGGATAAGAAGCCAAGTGCAGGAGTTGAAGTGTCACCAGACTGTCACTACTGAGGCTCCACTCTGGGAAAAGGAACAGCCTTGTACTTTGTGAAGGGGAATCTAAATTGGTTGAATATTCTCAAGATTTTTTTCATTAAAATTGTCTTCTGGTCTTTTAATCCACTGTGAAATACGTGAAATTAGAGCAGAAACCTCAACAAAATAAGCATTGTTTGTGCAACAGAGGCAAACGTAATTTGAGACATTTTCTCCAATCAGTGAAATTATAACTGACAAAAATGAAATAGAACAACATATTCAGTTAATTTACTGATAATCTAGATGATTATTAATAGTGAGTACTTTCCATATCTGTTATTTTTTGTACTCAGTCATAAATTCATCTTCAGTGGTTCTAAGTGCTCTATCAGAAAGTGGATTTGAAACCTACTGAAAAAAATGAAAAAGAAAAAACAACTAAAAACCTGTTCTGCACCAGTTCATTGTTAAAATTGTAGTGCTAAGTGCAAAAGCTTACTTTTTAGATTTTACATCTTTACTATTTTAAAAGCACCAATATATGACACGGTGCAAAAGACAGGTCAATGATTTGGAAAAATACCTGTAAATGGGTTTTAGATACTTTGTAAGTATTGCCAAAGCTTTTTTTTTTTTAATTACTGTTATTTATCTTTCAGTTTTGTAATGAAAAGTTACTCAGGACCCTTTTTGCTGAAGGAATTTAATAAGATCTCAGCTGTATGATGGGATGTAAGCCCAGCTGCAATGAAATTGTGCATATACAGGGTGTGTCTACCGACAGAGCACAGGGCATTCCAGAGGTCCCAGGAACCTGTGGCCTGGACTGAGGAGCGTTCCTGCCGTTGGAGCAGACACGTGGATTTGGGGTTGCTCCAGGAACTGACTGGAGATGGATTTCCTGCAGCCAGCCCCGGGAGCTGTTCTTTATTTTCGTGTTGCCCCTTGCTGGTGGGCAACGTGCCCAGAGGAGTCATCCTCTAGAAACTCTGCGCCTTTTCCTCTCCTTGAAGTGGGTATTTCATCCCCAGGGCCTGTCTCTGGGAAGTGACTCTCCAGGCTTCCAGTTCCCGGATTGTTCAGGGAGCTGAATGTTCCCGTGGGCTTGGAGTGTTCATGTCCAAGCCCGACTTGCGTTGATCCTGGGAAGAGAGGGGGAACTGGCCATTCCAGGGGTCTGACCGTGGGCACTGGGCTCCTTTGGAGATGAGAAGGGAAGTTTGCTGAGGGCGTGTCTGTGCTCTGGTGGGACCAGCAGAGCTCTGAATGCAGAGTCCTGGCCCTGCTTTAGGAGAGAGGAATTGCAGGTTGGTCTCAGGGTGACTTGGCACATTATCTCAGGTGCAGGTC